AAGAGATTAAATACTGGATTAATAGTTGCTGTAGGTTTCATTTTATAGCACCAGTACCTATACTTCTTGGATCGAACCATATATATATATATATATATATATATGTGTGTGTGTGTGTGTGTGTGTGTGTGTGTGTGTGTGTGTGTGTGTGTGTCTGTGTCTGTGTGTGTCTGTGTGTCTGTGTCTGTGTGGGTATCTGCGTGTGTGTGTGTGTGTGTGTGCGTGTGGGTGTGTGCGTGTGCGTGAGTGTGTGTGTTTGTGTGCGTATGTGTGTGCGTGTGTGTACGTGTGTGTGTGCACACGCGCGTGTGTGGCGCTCTTTTTTTTCGTTGGTCCACCGATGAAATTGGTTTGCACCGCTTCAATAACATTTATGGATTACGAAGAATTACGAAGAATTACGAAGAAGAATTTTATTTTATTTTGGGGGAGGGGGGTAGGCCTTATTTTCTTTTATTTCCTTACTTATTATTTATTCTGTTTACTAAGTTCAAGCCTTTTTATTGTACTTTATCGAACCATTTCCTACTTGGAATGATTTGTTTGAACAACATAAAGCAGCCGTAAAATGTATCGACATGTATTGATCAGTAAACGGGTGCTCTTACGGCTATTCTCTCTCTCTAACTCTCACCCTCTCTAACTCTCTATCTTTCTCTCTCTCTCTCTCTAACTCTCTATCTTTCTGTCTTTCTCTCTCTCTCACAGACACACACACACAGGTTTTCTCTCTCCTTATACATATATATAGAGAGAGGAGGAGAGCAAGAGACGGAAGGAGAGAGAGAGAGAGATCGCTGCCTTCATTCTGAGTATGTCTGTCCAGAATGTGTTGGATAAGGAGGGATGGCGAATACGAACAGAGATAAATAGTTTGAGTTTAACTGATTAAGATACATATATCACAGTCTTCAAGAGAGATAGATAGATAGATAGATATGAGCAGACTGCGAGATAGATAGATAGATAGATAGATAGATAGATAGATAGATAGATAGATAGATAGAATGATAATGACTGTGAGATAGAGATAGATAGATAGATAGATAGATAGACTGATAGATAGATAGAGATAGATAGATGAATGAATAGATAGATAGATAGATAGATAGATGATAGATAGATAGATAGATAGATAGATAGATAGATAGATAGATGGATATGAGCAGACTGTGAGATAGATAGATAGATAGATAGATAGATAGATAGATAGATAGATATGAGCAGACTGTGAGATAGATAGATATAGATAGATAGATAGATAGATAGATAGATAGATAGATAGATAGACTGAGCAGACTGTGAGATAGATAGATAGATAGATAGATAGATAGATAGATAGATAGATAGATAGATAGATATGAGCAGACTGTGAGATAGATAGATAGATAGATAGATAGATAGATAGATAGATAGATAGATAGATAGATAGATATGAGCAGACTGTGAGATAGATAGATAGATAGATAGATAGATAGATAGATAGATAGATAGATGATAGACTGATGACAGATATGAGCAGACTGACAGATAGATAGATAGAAAACTAGATAGATGGCTAAATGATATATGAATAGATGGAATTTTAAATAATGATAGACTGTGATAGATAGATGATATAGATAGATAGATAGATAGATTTTAAATGGGGAGACTTCTGAGATAGATGACGATAGATAGATAGATAATGATGGATGGATAGATATATAGATAGATAGATATGAGTTCACAGACTGTGAGATGGATAGATTGGAAATGATAGATAGATAGATAGATAGAGATAGATAGATAGATGCAGACAGAGAGAATGAGCAGACTGTGATAGATAATGATATGGATGGATAGATAGATATATAGATATAGATAGGATAGATAGACAGATAGATGGATAACAAACTGCAGGTAGATAGATTTAGATGAGCAAAATCAGTTGGCGCCATGAACCTGGAAATAGATGGCTTGACAGCCATCCATAGTTGGTTTTCTCTTATTTTAATACAAATAATACCTTATACTAAACGCTTTCCTCTCATATCAATTTCTTGTATAAATGATAGTTAATAAATAGATTATAATTATTTTAAAATGGGGAGTTACATTTCAGTCAGCCTGTATAAGACGATAGATAGATAGATAATGACCAGAGTGAGGTATATATATATATAGAGAGAGAGAGAGAGAGGATGAGACAGACAGGCAGACAGACAGAGACAGAGAGAGATGTGAGCAGATTGCGAAATAGATAATGACCAGAGTGAGGTATATATATATATAGAGAGAGAGACAGACAGACAGAAAGACAGACAGAGAGTGATGTGAGCAGACTGCGAAATAGATAGATATGACCAGAGTGAGGTAGGTATATATATATATATATATAGATAGATAGATAGATAGATAGATAGATAGATATGGATATAGATAGATAGATAGATAGATAGATAGATAGATAGATAATGAGCAAAGCAAAGCGTGGTATGTAGCTATGTATATGAACCATCTGGAAACGACGTCTACAACCAATCACATAGTTATCTTTTCTCTCTTGCACTTTATATATATATATATATATATATATATATATATATATATATATATATATATATATATATATATATATATATATCCCTTGTGTGTGTGTGTATACGTGTGTCCGTCTATCTGTCTTTCTCCCTTTGATTGACAAGGTTTTATTTTCTCTACTCCAGATGAGTCATCGTTAACGAAGGTTATCGATCTGGTTCGCATCTGTAATTGAAGTGTAGCACTGCTTTTCAGAACAACAGTTACATAAGATATCTGGAAAATATATTTTTCGACTCATGGTGAGCGGAAATTACAACTGCGCATGAACGGAATGATAATGGTGTAAATGAATGGTCCGTGAATGGGGGGGAAACATTGTTAACAACAGTCGCAACGAATGAACAACAAGAACTTTGAAAGATAATGACTCTTCTCAAATGAGCCAAGGTAGGCAATTTGAAAGTCCTATCGATTATTGCTTTTCTGTTAATTGGATGATGATTTTAGTGTTAACCCTTATTCTATCGATTAATGATAGATACAGTAGAAAGAGAGGGAAAATTAGACATTGAGTCTAAAGTTGAAGAACTTCAATGAAATGACTCTTCTCAAAATTATAGAAGGTAGACATAAATAACTGAAACATTGGGTCAACAAAAGCTTTAGGGACAATAGTCAAGAAACTGAAATGATAGAAGTCAAAATAGGCACAACACTATTTGCGATTTCCGTAAAAAAATGTTTTTTGGAATACAACCACTTTCATTTTTGTTTCCATTTTCTGATAGAAGGTAGACATGAATGGATTGACTGAAATGAAAAACAAAAGTCAAAATCAACAAAGAATGAGTTAGAACGAAAGAACTCTTGTGAAATTAAATATGGTGATTTTCTCAAAATGATAGAAGTAGACATAAATTTGACTGAAACATTGGGTAAAAGTATGGAATGTATTCCTACTTTCAAAATGATAGAAGGTAGTGATATAACAGAGGAAAAGCAATACAAAGAATGGTCCAATAGTCTGAAGAACTCTGAATGATAAACAAAATTGAAGGTAGATAATTACAAACGAAAAACAAAGAATGAGTTCAAGAGTTTGAAAAACTCTTGGAATTATAATGACTCTTTTCAAAATTATGGAAAGTAGACATAAAATGGATTGACTGAAACATTCTGGTAACAAAAGAAATACAAGGAATGAGTTCAATAGTCTGAAGAACTCTTGGAATGATAATGACTCTTCTCAAAATGATAGAAGGTAGACATAGAATGGATTGACTGAAACATTGTGGTAACAACAAAAGCAATACAAAGAATGAGTTCAATAGTCTGAAGAACTCTTGGAATGATAATGACTCTTCTCAAAATGATAGAAGGTAGGCATAGAATGGATTGACTGAAACATTGTGGTAACAACAAAAGCAATACAAGGAATGAGTTCAATAGTCTGAAGAACTCTTGGAATTATAATGACTCTTCTCAAAATGATAGAAGGTAGATATAGAATGGATTGACTGAAACATTGTGGTAACAACAAAAGCAATACAAAGAATGAGTTCAATAGTCTGAAGAACTCTTGGAATTATAATGACTCTTCTCAAAATGATAGAAGGTAGATATAGAATGGATTGACTGAAACATTGTGGTAACAACAAAAAGCAATACAAAAAATCATGAGTTCAATAGTCTGAAGAACTCTTGGAATGATAATGACTCTTCTCAAAATTATAGAAGATAGACATAGAATGGATTGACTGAAACATTGTGTAACAACAAAAGCAATACAAAGAATGAGTTCAATAGTCTGAAGAACTTTGGAATGATAATGACTCTTCTCAAAATGATAGAAGGTAGGCATAGAATGGATTGACTGAAACATTGTGGTAACAACAAAAGCAATACAAAGAATGAGTTCAATAGTCTGAAGAACTCTTGGAATGATAATGACTCTTCTCAAAATTATAGAAGATAGACATAGAATGGATTGACTGAAACATTGTGGTAACAACAAAAGCAATACAAAGAATGAGTTCAATAGTCTGAAGAACTCTTGGAATGATAATGACTCTTCTCAAAATGATAGAAGGTAGGCATAGAATGGATTGACTGAAACATTGTGGTAACAACAAAAGCAATACAAAGAATGAGTTCAATAGTCTGAAGAACTCTTGGAATGATAATGACTCTTCTCAAAATTATAGAAGATAGACATAGAATGGATTGACTGAAACATTGTGGTAACAACAAAAGCAATACAAAGAATGAGTTCAATAGTCTGAAGAACTCTTGGAATGATAATGACTCTTCTCAAAAATGATAGAAGGTGAAACATTGTGGTAACAACAAAAGCAGAATGGATTGAATGGATTGACTGAAACATTGTGGTAACAACAAAATCAATACAAAAAGAATGAGTTCAATAGTCTGAAGAACTCTTGGAATGATAATGACTCTTCTCAAAATGATAGAAGGTAACAACAAAAATAATACAAACAATACAAAGATAGAATGGATTGACTGAAACATTGTGGTAACAACAAAAAAAAGCAATACAAAGAATGAGTTCAATAGTCTGAAGAACTCTTGGAATGATAATGACTCTTCTCAAAATTATAGAAGATAGACATAGAATGGATTGACTGAAACATTGTGGTAACAACAAAAGCAATACAAAAGAATGAGTTCAATAGTCTGAAGAACTCTTCTCAAAATGAATTATAATGACTCTTCTCAAAATGATAGAAGGTAGATATAGAATGGATTGACTGAAACATTGTGGTAACAACAAAAGCAATACAAAGAATGAGTTCAATAGTCTGAAGAACTCATGGAATGATAATGACTCTTCTCAAAATGATAGAAGGTAGGCATAGAATGGATTGACTGAAACATTGTGGTAACAACAAAAGCAATAAAAAGAATGAGTTCAATAGTCTGAAGAACTCTTGGAATGATAATGACTCTTCTCAAAATGATAGAAGGTAGATGGATAGAATGGATTGATAAACATATCTGGTCTTGGAATTAAATGACAAAAGATATACAAAATATGAATGAGTTCAATAGTCAAAGAAGAAATAGTCTGAAGAACTCTTGGAATGATAATGACTCTTCTCAAAATGATAGAAGGTAGGCATAGAATGGATTGACTGAAACATTGTGGTAACAACAAAAGCAATAAAAAGAATGAGTTCAATAGTCTGAAGAACTCTTGGAATGATAATGACTCTTCTCAAAATGATAGAAGGTAGGCATAGAATGGATTGACTGAAACATTGTGGTAACAACAAAAAAGCAATAAAAAAGAATGAGTTCAATAGTCTGAAGAACTCTTGGAATGATAATGACTCTTCTCAAAATGATAGAAGGTAGGCATAGAATGGATTGACTGAAACATTGTGGTAACAACAAAAATGCAATAAAAAGAATGAGTTCAATAGTAGACATAGAAGAACTCTTGAATGATAATGACTCTTGGAATGATAATGACTCAAAATTATAGAAGATAGACATAGAATGGATTGACTGAAACATTGTGGTAACAACAAAAGCAATACAAAGAATGAGTTCAATAGTCTGAAGAACTCTTGGAATGATAATGACTCTTCTCAAAATGATAGAAGGTAGAATTGGTAGTAACAACAAAAGCAATACAAAAGAATGAGTTCAATAGTCTGAAAGAACTGGATTGACTCTTCTCAAAATGATAGAAGGCATTGAATGGTTGACAACATTGTGGTAACAACAAAACAAACAAAGAATGAGTTCAATAGTCTGAAGAACTCTTGGAATGATAATGACTCTTCTCAAAATGATAGAAGGTAGACATAGAATGGATTGACTGAAACATTGTGGTAACAACAAAAGCAATACAAAGAATGAGTTCAATAGTCTGAAGAACTCTTGGAATGATAATGACTCTTCTCAAAATGATAGAAGGTAGATATAGAATGGATTGACTGAAACATTGTGGTAACAACAAAAGCAATAAAAGCAAAAGAATGAGTTCAATAGTCTGAAGAACTCTTGGAATTATAAAATGACTCTTCTCAAAATGATAGAAGGTAGATATAGAATGGATTGACTGAAACATTGTGGTAACAACAAAAAGCAATACAAAGAATGAGTTCAATAGTCTGAAGAACTCTTGGAATGATAATGACTCTTCTCAAAATGATAGAAGATAGACATAGAATGGATTGACTGAAACATTGTGGTAACAACAAAAGCAATACAAAGAATGAGTTCAATAGTCTGAAGAACTCTTGAATGATAATGACTCTTCTCAAAATTATAGAAGATAGACATAGAATGGATTGACTGAAAATTGTGGTAACAACAAAAGCAATACAAAGAATGAGTTCAATAGTCTGAAGAACTCTTGGAATGATAATGACTCTTCTCAAAATGATAGAATTAGACCTAGAATGGATTGATGAAACATTGTGGTAACAACAAAAAGCAATACAAAGAATGAGTTCAATAGTCTGAAGAACTCTTGGAATGATAATGACTCTTCTCAAAATGATAGAAGGTAGATATAGAATGGATTTCTCAAAATGATAGAAGGTAAATAGATTGTGAAACAACAAAAGCAATACAAAGAACAAATGATAGAAATGTAAAATTGACATTGTGGTACAAAAAAGAATGAGTTCAATAGTCTGAAGAACTCTTGGAATGATAATGACTCTTCTCAAAATTATAGAAGATAGACATAGAATGGATTGACTGAAACATTGTGGTAACAACAAAAGCAATACAAAGAATGAGTTCAATAGTCTGAAGAACTCTTGGAATTATAATGACTCTTCTCAAAATGATAGAAGGTAGATATAGAATGGATTGACTTAAACATTGTGGTAACAACAAAAAGCAATACAAAGAATGAGTTCAATAGTCTGAAGAACTCTTCTCAAAATGGAATTATAATGATTGACTCTTCTCAAAATGATAGAAGGTAGATATAGA